CTGCAGATGGGACCCAGAGTGTGTTTAAACAAGGCTTCCATGTAATTTAGACAACACACTCAAGTATGAGAAACACTGGCCTTAAAAAAGAGTTTCCTAAAATCTAAACAACTAGCTACATATGGATGGAAAACCACTGATACTTTCTGCTTATGTAGCACTTTGCATTTCAACAAACTTTTTTACTTTACCTCTTATTATCTTCTTAAAACAACTCTGTAGAGTAACTAAAATAGATAGTTTCAGCATTTTGTAAATGAAACTGCAGCTCAGAATAATTCAGGGATTTGCTCAAAGTCATAGCACACAAGGATAGATCCAAATTTAGAGCCTAGGTCTTGTGAATCTTGCAAACTAACAGGGAAAACATTCAGCAAAGAAGAGGGCACATAGCTATATACCACATAACCATGGCTAAAGGAGAGGTATCTCTCAAGCTCAGGTAATGACAGGGAGGAGACAAGCATATTCAGGTAACTTCCTATCAGGTGAGTCACAGCTGTTTGTATTTGGAGTTCACAAGCCACAACAAAATGCATTAATCCTTTTAGGCCTGAGTTTGCTGTTATGTGGAATCATCTTTGAGAAACACAATGCTCAGCCCTCATCCACAGACTCCATGGCTGAGTCATCGCCTTTGGTTGTTTTCTCCATATTTCTACAAACAAGTCATCTAAAGTCAAATGAAACAAAACACCAAAGCCACCTTTACTAGGTAGAGTGTTTATGTAAACATACTTACACATTTCATACTTATGGAAACATAAATAATCACAATTTGCATTTATCCCAGGAGATTTGTCTTCTATTGTTTCCTGGGACATAATGACAATAAGTGATCTAATTCACAGGCCCATAAACATTCTTTAAGAAAGTGTATATAAAATGCCATATTCCTAGATGATAAATACTATGTTATACCCCATTATTTACCACATGTATTCAATACAGGATTTTATGGGCAATGGATGACCCTTAAAATGTCAGTGATGACCAGTAAATTTTGTTTAGCTCTAGTGATTTAGCTACAGAAAAAGAAAATTTCATAATTGTTGCACACTTGCCCTGTAGACACACAAAGTTTGTTTTCAAATGCTAAACTATAAGTAGTAGAAAAATAATATATTGTGTCAGGAGTTTGTATGAATATTGATACATTTTTAGTAAATGTAGGCATTCTATTCTATGATGCCTTATAGAAAAGAAACCATGTTTCCCTTGAAGTTTGCACAGAATCTTCACATTTAACTATCAAATGATCACATCCTTTTTGGTTGTTTCTTCTTTGCCCGCCTACTATGGAAACAAATAGGGAGCAAAGATCTAGAATTTGAAAAAAACTAAAAAATAGCTATATTTGCTAGGCATACTTAGTTTTAAAAGTTAAAATCATAAAAAAAATTAATACCCAGAAAACATTAAACAGGGGTCCAATTTGTGAAACAAAATCTCAATACCTCAAATTTAGAATATTTAAAATCACAATATTGTGAAATCCTTGCATTTTTTATCATATGTGCACTTATGCTCTATGTCCAGATATATATGTATATGTGATATTTACAAACTACACTTTTGAACAGATGTTTGATAATATAACGCATTATGTGACTAGCATGTTCCTTGGGATCAAGTATTTCATGATTATCTTTTTAGACATATGGTGCTGATATTGAAAACAAAACCAGAGGGATTATTAAAAATAAAACTTAAAGTGAGGTTTGGAATATTTCCTATTTCCTTTTAAGTTAAACTTATCAAGAGAACAATGTGGTTTCAATCCATCGAGATTAAGCAGGAGCCAAGTCTTTTTGGTTGCCTGTACACAAGGCTAGCGGCTTGGAAGGACCAGTGTTAGAAATGCACACAGTAACTGATGAACACCTTTGCTTGAGGGGGTGGCAGTGAGGTATATGTGCTCCGTTTAGAAAAATACCTAGGCTGCATCATGAGTAAAGTCCTGTGGAAAAATGTATTGGGCACTTTTCTGTGAATTATTAATGTAGACACTGGTTCATTCCATCTAGGAATGAGTCCTAGGTACTGCTGCTGCTTCTATTGGTCTGTGGATAACACTTTGACTATTTATTGTTGGGTAGGAGTTAGTATTGTTTTCATTAGCTCTTTATAAAATTTCTCTTAAAGATCTGGAATATCAACAAAGAAACCATCAGGTTAGCTGTGCATACATAACTATCAACCCTTCTTTTTTTCCCCCTCAAGTTTTGTCACCATAATTCTATAATCCTTTTTTTCTCAAAAAGAAATTACAGAGCACTCTCCTATCACGATGCACAATTATTAATGTAATTATGGTTATATAAAAATGAGCATGCATTTCCTAAAGATTACTTGTTGCATGGAAGTAAGGCACTGAAGGTAAATGTTTTGAAGACAAGTTGGCCAAACTTCTGCCACTGGACCACCAGAATTACAAACCTCCTTTGTCTTCTATTGCCATTGCACATTATTCAGGGCCACAGGCTCACTGAGAGAGGATTTTTTTGCCTCTCCTTGGCATTTCACTTTCTCAGTGCCAAACATCTACTGTGGCTTCCAAATGAATCAAGTTCTCCTTCCTCTCCTCCCCTGGAAACTCATACTCCCAGCAAAATGTCACAAATAAAGTGGAAGCATGCCCTTCCCAGCCTAGACTTGTAAACAGAAAGCAAGAACACCATTCTTCAGCAGGAAACTGACCCACAAAGCTTACTGGATCCAGTTAAAGAGATTGAGAAGAAGGTCAGCTAAAAAAAAAAAAAAAAAAAGAACTCTCTTTATCTTCTGATAGAGCTCCACCAACCCAAAAATAAAGCCTTGTCTAAAGCAAAGGAAATTAAAAATAGAGAATGTTAGGGGAGACCTGGGAAGGCAATGGATTCTCACAGGTGACTTATTTGCATGCTCTGTTTATCTTCTCTTTGCCAAGGACTAACTGGTTCTGTTTTTATTCTCATTTCTCTCAACCCTCACTTCCACACTATAATACATACTAAAGTGTAATTTTTTAAAAAAATTTCATATCTTTGGGGCCATAGACATAAAGAACTTCTGTATCGTATATAGATATTTGTGTAGTGAGACTACATCTCCTAGATTTAAATTTCAATACCTGTTTTTTCTTTTGAATTATCATTTAGATATTTTTCTAACTCTAAGATAACTATAGCTTAAGATACAATGATGGTACTTAGAAAGTCCTTACAAAGTTCACCAACACTCAAAAACTTGTACATTTCAGGTATTCACTTTTCTCACATTCAATCTTGTAACATGAAAAAAAAAAATCCTAGATATAGCATAAATTTATGTAGAATTCTTCACTAATAAAGGGTTAATGATGTTAGGGAATATGGATATTAGGAGTTGAGAGGGCATGCTTGTGTGCCTGCAAAAACATTTTCTGCATTATGTCCGTCCAATCTCTTTGCAAACAGATGAATTACTCTATAAATCTTATTGCTCCATGTGGATAAATCATACATGCAGTTTTACCAGGATGGAGAGTTACATGGGAAAATCTGCTTTGGATAGTAGGATCTTTGGGATTCATAATCACCCAACACTCAGAAAGTGAAGAAAGGAGTACTTACACATTAGCATTTTCTTACTTTTTATAATCTGGAACAACACATATATAGACAACACACACACACACACACACACACACACACATACACACCATTTTCTCCTCTAACAAGGCTAGAGATCCCAAAGCAGGACACTCTGTGACAGCCAACCAAATTTATTTCTGAGAAAAGAAAAGAAAACTTTGCTGCTGTAGGCAGCTCTGCCACAGAACTGCTCCCTTATGCCCCAGGGTTTATGCACTATCAGCTCCTTGCACACAGATTAGAGGTTTATTTTCTATCGCACACTGTTTTTTATTGCCACAACCAGCAATATTAGCTAGATAGATAGACTGACACTGGGTCATTTTATTTGGAGGAAATGGGATTTTAAAAGATCTCAAAGGAGAGCATTTTCTTTCTGTTTTCTTCATTTTTCCCCCTTTTTAAAAAATTATTATCTGCTAGAAATTCAAGTAAAGCTGGAAAAGCAAGGGTGGAGGGGGAAGAGATAAGAGGAAAAACAGGAAAAGCTGCTTGGAGCTTTTTAGAAATAGAATAAAGATGAGGTGCCATTTGAGTCTCTCTAGCTCACTGTCCCTTATAGGGGTCAAACTCCCAAGGACTTGGGACGATTCCTTTACAAATTTCAATCTCAAATTATATTTCAGAGTTTGGCAGAGCTATACAAAGATAAGAGTTTTTAAGTCAATAATCATGTTGATTATGCTAGGTTAATTCTCTCACAGCCTTTAGGCTTAACACTTCTATTCTTAAATGCCAGCAACTGGACATAATGTTATTTTTTCTTCTCCTCATTCTTGTGGTGATTTCTATCCACAGTCCAAAAAAGGCTCAGTAACCAACCAAAGTTCTAAGATTGATTTATTTCCCTGGATGTCAATTAGAAGATCTTTACAGAAAGTCTTCTATCAGAACTACTGCTGGCAGAGTGAAAGCCTGGATGTACAACACACACACACACACACACACACTCACGGGAGAAGCAAGGAGAATGCAGTACCATGTACCACTCTTTTAGAGCCATAATTCAACAACTCTTCTTTCTGGATTAAGAAACGTCAACAAAACTCCAGAGGGCAAAGCATGAGCAATTAAAAAAAACCGTAATACTGCTGGAATTCCACTAATTCCATAGGTGAAGTTAGGCTTCCTTGATCAGAGAAACAACATCCGAAGAACCAAACATTTCACCAGCACCATTGGTTCTTGACAGGGACCAGAATTCCTTTGAATGTTGTTGGCAGTCTACTACCAGTCAGTGAAAGGGATACACACACACACACACACACACACACACACACTCCGGAGCCTGCAGCATCGGAACGAACTCACACACACACACACACACACACACACACACACACACACACAGAAGCGCGCGGGAGAAAAGTTGCCCGAAAGCCCTACCTGAGGATGGCCGTGTCCCCCTGCCTCACGGTGATGTTGTCCGTGCCTCGGTTAAAATCCACGCTGCGAACGGGTAGTCCTGTGGGAAGAAGGCAGAGCAATCTCAGTAGGACCAGCGGCAACTGTTTCCGATCAGGCTGAACTCTCCCGACCATGGTGGCCAAGGCGAGGTGCGGGTCCGCGGGGTGCTCCGAGGGTTGTGCGCGCTGTTCGCCGCGGAGAGGGGCTTTACTAACACCGGGCTGTCATCAACCGCCCAGGCAGGTCGGGCTTCTCCAGTTTGTGGCCCCTTCCACTTTGCCACTCTTCACCTCGCTCAGTCTCTTTTCCCTCTAAGTCTTAACAAAGCCCTCATAAAATCCTAGCAGGGGTGAGGGGAAAAGTCCAAGGAACAAAATTTCAACAGAGAGTACAAATGCAAAACCCTCTAGAAAGGATGAGGAGAAGACTGCCAAAGGCAGAGGTGCTTCCCTGGTCTCTCTGTGGTTGGATGCTCCTGTGCCAGCGTCGGAGCTGAGCTCCTTCCCTGTGTAACCCACTTTCCCAGGCCGGCGAGGGAGCCGGCTCCAAGCTGCCAGGGAGTGTAAAGAAACTGCCACGCAGCAGCGGCAGAGGCAGCCCAGAGTCTCTCTCCCCCTCCTCCCTTCCTGTTTCTCCCTCCAGTCCCCGGCTGTCTCTCTATCAGCACCTCCCCCTACCCTGCTGGTTTTCAACAGCCCCTCCACGTCATCCCCTCCTCCCTCCCCTCGGAGTGGCCCCTCGCTTTGCACAACTGCCCCCTTCAGCAGCAGTCAGCCTCAATGAAAGCCCGGTGTGCCTTTAGGTTGTCAGGACAACAGCTCCATCCGAGGAGGCCTGGCTGATTTCCTTAAGAAGAGGGAATGGAGAGCATGGGGACTGTTCAAGACAGAGAAGAAGGAGAAGGACTTAAGCCATAAAAAGAGTCCAGGAAAGGAGAAGGAAAGGATGAAGGAAGAAGAAGAAAGAGAGGCAGGAAAGAGGCAAACCTTGCTAAATGGAGGGAGTGAAACGGAAGGATAGAAGGCATGGGGGTTGGGGTGCAAGTCCTGAAAGATGGGCTAAGGAATGTAAAACAGTGAAGAAACTTGACAGCAGACTCTCACATTAAAAGCCAAAGTTGATTTCAAAGTAAACATTCCTGGCCAATGGCTTTTCATACTCAAATCTTGTTCATTCTTTTCCTCTCTTCTGTACTTTCTATTATAGGATGAAAAAGGTTTATTTTCTCTTCTTCCTTCATCCCCACCCCCTCTTAGAACCCCTTTATGAAAGATGTATTGGAGACAATGCTGGTATTGAGTGGTGTGGGGTGTGAATGCTTGGCTTGTCTTTTCCAAGTGCCAGCCTCAGCAGCTGATCCCTGATCCCTAAATCAACCTCACTCTCCAGGAAACCCTCACTCAGTCCCACACATGAGTGGTGGTTTTAAAGATTATTGTTCTAATGACACATTGCTATGACCACCACCCAAGCTCCTACTGGTACTTGCTTCTCAAAATGTTCATATACAAGGAAGAGGATTTGTATTTCAAGGCCTGTCATTTATAGGGAGACACTAAGGCTGCATGCAGCAGTCTAGTGAATGCCAGACAGGCTACCATCATTTCTCACTCCTTCTACTCCATGAGCCCAGGAAGTGATGAGGTTCATAAGGGACCAACACTGTTAGTCCTTCAAGTGAGAGTCCCATACTAGAGATGTCCCTTAGTACTGATGCTGGCAATTAAAATGGGGTTGGGCCAGCTAGGGACTCTTTTCCTCCTTTTAAATTTTACTTGAACAATTAAAGCATTCACATGATATAAAAACCAAATGGTATAAATTGCTATAGGATTAATTATAGTTGTTGTCCTATAGTTTAAAAATGGCAATAGGAACCTGCATGGGGGTGCACATCTGTGATCCCAGTGGCTCGGAAGGCTGAGACAGAAAGATCCGGAGGTCAAAGCCAGCCTCGGCAATGGTGAGGTGCTATGCAACTCAGTGAGACCCTGTTTCTTAATAAAATACAAATAGGGCTGGGGAGGTGGCTCAGTGATCAAGTGCCCCTGAGTTCAGTGCCCAGTACCAAAAAAAAAAAAAAAAAAAAAGATAAAAAAAAATGGCAATAGGAAGACAACTATAATTCCCCTATCTGGAGGCAACACATATTTCTAGTTCCATATATACAGAAGAAAGCCAGAAGAAGTGGGCAAAGGATGGGAGATGAGGATGAAGCATAGGGAAGTGAGGCTCCTTCAGGCTTGGAGCTAGGTAACCTGTCCTCAGACCCTCAGAATAATCACACTTGATCTCCTTCAGGCTTCTGTATTCCAGCAAGGCCTTTGCTTGTAAGTCTTCCCTCTGTGATAGCATAGAAGGAGAGAAAATTTGCATAGACAGCTCTAAAGCTTCAACCAAAGTGATTGTGAGTCATTCCGATAACTTGCTGCCACTTCTGCTAATAGGGGAATCTCCAGGTTGGGAGTCCCCATTTTATGTCTCCCTGTTCTGGATCATTTCTAGCCATAAATATTCCATACATATAGAAGAAGTAAATACATAAATACAAACATATACAAACACACACAAAGGTATTTTCCTTACCCCTCTTATTTACACAAATGGTTAGCTGAGGACATTTGCAAATAAATACAAAGAAATAAATGCAAAGAAACATGTTTGGAAATCCCCACAAGCCCCAAGAAAGCACTAACTGTGCTGATACCTCCCTTTCCCCCAGACTGATCAGATTTCTCTACAGCATTTTATCAGTTAAAAGATATATGAACTCTTATATACTGTGTGAAAAAAGGAAGGCATTTTGATTTTATAAAAGATTTTGAAGGATTGGAATCCAAATTGTCACAAATCCAAGATTTATCAAGTCAATTAATTTTGTTGTGCTGAGCATTCATTTCCTATAAATCAAGGTGTCCTCTTTCAGGGTTTATAAGCAATCCACAGTTAAGAAACCAGTGATATTTCACCACTACTTTGTAACTCAGCTGTTGAAAACTTGGAGCCCAATTTGTGACAGAAAAAAAAATGGTTAGATCCAATGGTTAGTTGAATCACAAACCCCATAATCCTGTGCTTCTCAATATCAATGCTAAACTGAGCTTCAGTTGTCAACAGGAGGTGCAAAGATTTTATATAACTCTCTGTCAAGTTTGAAGAGAAAAGAGTACCCACTCTTTCCCCACCATAAGTTGACTTGACCATCCTTGATAATCTTCTTTGGAGCTCTGAGAAATGAGGGATGAGCTTAATAAGCAAAGGTTTAAAAGTAGCATGTGTTCTTCATCTGGGTGGTGTTCCACCAATGTCAGAACAAAGAAAAGAAAGATGCAAGGGACTGGGGGCTACTAGGATCATGGGTATCCCACTGATGGGATTATCCTTGGTAGGATCCTAGATGCTCTAGGGAAGGATTAGACAAATTGATATTATGAGTACTTCCTCTTATCAGTGACTGGATTTTGTGTAAAGAAAGGAAGAGGTTTTTTCACGACAAAGTATAGTGGGGTGGTAGGATATTATTGGTTGAAGATATTTATACATGATTGTTAACTAATAGAAATCTAAAGTCACTGGTAGAACTTGAATGGTGGTGCTAGGAGGAAACAGACTAATATATAGAGCACAAAATAATTCACAACAAAGTAGTGGGAATTTGGAATTTTTGGTATATCAACCAAATCTGGAGTTTGTCTCCATAATTATTTGAAAAAAAAAAGTATATCTTAGGCTAATCAAGAATATAATCAGAATTGGAATGGAAATGCTTAACCAAAGAATATACAATTATAACTACATATTTGTGTAGAAAAAAACATCAAAAACAGCAATTAAAGATTTTTAAAATATCTTCATTAAATAAAGTCCATTTCCTGGCAACTTTTGTTAAACTAAATTGACTTACTGTAAGTACTTAATATAAAACACAGTTTTAAAAAGGACTTTATTTTAGAAATTCTTTAATTTAGACTGTTCAGTAATTCAGTCTAATTCAATAAGACTGACTTCCTGAACAATTAAAAATCATGAGTTTATGCCAGGCATGGTAGTGCACGCCTATAATCCCATTGGCTTGGGAGGCTGAGGCAGGAGGATTACAAGTTTAAAGCCAGCCTCAGCAACTTAGCAAGTCCCTAAGCAACTCAGTGAGACCCTGTCTGTAAATAAAAGACAAAAAGGGCTGGGGATGTGGCTTGGTTGTTAAGCACCCCTGGGTTCAATCCCCATTACAAAAACAAAACAAAAGTCATGAGGTTTACTATATAAGATAATAATGTAATATTTGGTATTTACAGCCAAACAGTACTTCAAATACAATTGTTTAACCCAACACTTGGCCCAGAGGGTGAATGCTATAATGGATGAACATAAGACTGGAAACATGGTGGAATGCCCAACCCCACTCACCACGTGGTTCACTTCACCACTTAGAGTAAATAAATCTATTTATGGGTGTGCACAGTCTACTTTTGTGAAAAGTATGGTCTCTCAGAGAACTTCTCTTTTTTACTCCCCTTATGTTATCCTTTTTTTTTTCTTTCTCTCTTCTTTAAGAACTCCCACCTTCTAATAAATACAATACTCTATCAAATTGGATAATGTATCTCATCCTTTTGGTCATTGCCCCCAAACTATCCCAATATTAATTTCTCGGTGGAAAGTAAACAAATAGACAAGTTCATGAAATTTCTATAGGCTATTTTTTCTGTAATCTGCTATATGCATTCTTCCAAGAGGGTTGGCAAAAATGAACATACTTTTGGGTTATTTGTGAGGCAAGTATGGCTGTTAGCCATGTGAAACAGCCATCATCACCCAAGTAAGATGATCTTAACTACTACTTTAAAATAACATACTGCTTTCTAAAAGAGGCTTTGGAAGATGCTGGCACTCTCCAGGGACAAATGTTGCAGGAAAAACAAAGACTGGCTAGCTTCTGAGTACCGTAAGTAAGATGCATAAAAGGTTTATTCTTCTGTTTAGCTCTGTAAGATGATAAGCATACATGAAATCTAGGTGCAGCCTGAAATGTACAATTAATTTAGCTACATTGCTTGCATTTTATGCTAAACATGTCTATAACATTATTAATATACCACTCTACATTTCTACAGTTGTAGGGTCTTAATCATAA